GACAATATTAGGAAACTTAAAAAAAAAACCCACAATATTTTTCTTATCTAATTTCAGCCACAGCTTTTTCTGCTCTGATATCTGCCTGAAATGTTTCACACAAAATTCTAGGTCATCTAGTTTCTTTCTTAAAAATAAAAATGAATATCATTTGACATCTGATTTTATTATAGAGAGGAAAAGAGTATGCCCCATCCTGTCCTATTTAAAAATGCTCAGTTGTGTTGAGACAAAAAAGTCATTTATTTGAAGTCTTTGTGACATGTAAGTTTTTATACCTATTGTTTGCTCTTCGGTGTCGCCACGGTCTTTGGCTCAGCATGAGCTGCATGTGTGCACCTTATTTCATGCAGTGTCTTCTACGCTCACTGGATTGCAGGTGCCTCTGTTAGTTTCTTAGAGGTGTCACAACCAATCTGCACAAATCTATCCTCTCATAGTTCTGGAGTCCAAGAGAAAAATCAATGTGTCAGCAAGGTCAGTCCCTTCTGGAGGCCCTGAGGCAGAATCTATTCCATACTTCTCTCCTTGGTTCTGGTAGCCTTAGCCATCCTTTCCTTGGTGGTCCTTGGTTTTTGCTCTGTAACTCCAATTTCTGCCTCTATCTCTATATGTACTTTTCTGTCTCTCCAAGTATTTCCAATCTCCTTTCTCTGATAGGGACATCAGCTACTGTATTTAGGGCCTACTGTAAATCCAGAGGTTCTAATCTCAAGACCCTTAATTACATTGGCAATGACCCTATTTCCAAATAAAGTCATATTCACAGGCACCAAGAGTTAGACCAGGGCATATTTTGGGAGGAGATATTATTCAACTTGCTATAATGCCTACTTATTTTTGATGCTGTTGATGAGAATGTGACCAAACAGAAGCTGGAATTAAAATATAGCAGAATGCTTATTTCAGGACTTCTGCTTTTGTTCAAGAAAAATAATAGAAACCAGATTTCTTCTGTTACTTTGAAGAAATTTTAAAAATGAGTAATATAAACAGGATCTTACATTAATACATTTTATATAAGTACAACAAGAAAGAACACAAACAGAGGTGATAAATCCACACGAGTTGAGAATTTGGGAAGGCCAAGGCAGGTAGAATACATAAATCCTGATACTGGTCTTGGAGATCAGGAATGGGTCCTTGTTCCCTGGTGTTGAAAATAAAACCCCAAGAAATGCTGAGGCAAGTATAGAAAGCAAGTTTTATTAAGAAAAGGACAAAGACAGATTTATCTGGAGAAAAGGGGCCCCAGAGCTGGGTGTCTGTGGAAGAGGATGGGTTTTTCTCTTTTACAGACCCAAGAATCCCTCTTTTAATTATTGCATTCTCTTTCTTCCCCATGTATGTTACCAAGGGCAGGGACAAGAAGCTAATTTTTAGCAACCCAGAGTGACCTGGAACATGATCATGGAGGTTAATAACCCATTGTTTTTGTCTTTGATAACCAGTCCTCAGTTTCTTTAGAGCCCATCATCCATTACCTACTGACTACTTGACCTTTGTATCTGCCTAGGCCAGGTGGGGCTGCAGGCAGATTGCTTTTTGATTAAGAAAGCCTGTAGGGGGTCAGTACGGTGGGACTGTTCTTTTTGGTACTGGGGATTGAACTCAAGGGCACCTCACCACTGAGCCACATCTCCAGCCCTATTTTTTATTTTATTTAGAGACAGGGTCTCACTGAGTTGCTGAGCGCCTCCCTATTACTGAGCTGGCTTTGAACTCATGATCCTCCTGCCTCAGCCTCCTAAGTAGCTGGGATTACAGGCATGTGCCATGGTGCCCAGCACAGTGGGCCTATTTTATAGAATTATTCTCTTAACCTTGTGTTCCCACCTTCCTCATCTATCTGTCCCCTTACCATACTAGAGTGAGGGTGGGGAGAGGGAAGGAGAGAAAGGAGGGTGCAGAGACAGAGCTCCAGGGCTTTGCAGTGGGCTTCTCAAAATTTTAGTTGACTAATGACCAGCCATGTATGGGAGGAGAATGCTAGAGACTGGACAAACAACTCCCCAGGAAAGGAACAGATGGAAACAGTCCCCCCAAAGTCCAAGAGCTTAGAAGAGTTCTAACTTATTATAGCAAAAGTAAAAAACCAAACCAAACCAAAACAAAAACCCCCAAATCAAAAAACAAAACAAACTCACTTATACTATAGAAAGCATCTGAGTTCCAGGGCACACAGCAGGATAAACCACAGTGGTGCCAATGGGGGGAGGTGTCCTTGAAGAGGATGGTGGGACCCTGGCCCCATCCTCACTTTTGGTTCACACTCATGAGATGACAGTTTAGCTCTGCCACAATCTCCCTGCAATTGCCATGTTGTAACCACAAATAGAGGTCTAAAAGCAACTTGTCCACCCAATCATGAACTGGAACCTCTAAACTATGAGCCAAAGTACCTTTTTCTCTTTATAAGTTAATTATATCTGGTATTTGTATATAGTAATGGAAAGCTGACTAACATAGTATCACAATGAATGATGAAAACTTCACAACATGTAACACCCATTCATGATAAAAACTCAGTAAACTACAAACAGAAGACAATATCCTTCATCTGAATGGTGTCCCCATTGTCATTTTTATTTAAATAGCAGTGGAGGGCATTGATAAGGGAATAAAGCAAGAAAAAGAAATGAAAGACACCAGGATTGGAAAATATGAAGTGCCTCATAATTGCTACTAAAAATATATTTTTAAAACTATTAGAACTAGACTAAACAGCATAGCACAGGCTCTGGGATGAGGGATGCCCTTTGGCTGTGTCACCTGATGGCAGGTGGAAGAAGGCTATGGTGGGAATGTGTATTTGAGCAGGTAGTCAGATCTTGGTAACAGACTCATATTTTTATAATTGTCCTCTCATGAGAACTACTGAGGGATCCCACCAGAACTACTCTGCATCCTCCATGATCTAAAGAGCTCCTGTTAGGCTCCACTTCTTAAATGTTCAGTTACTCCTCGTCAGCTCCACCCTGGGGACTGATTTTCCAATACACGAACCTTTGGACAGGACACAATTAAACCATAAACAAACTATAACAGATAATGATAAGATGTTCTTCGATGGAAAAACAAATAAATAACAAAAAAAAATCCAATTTTTTTCCACTTGTGTCATGCACTGTGCTAGGTTCTTGAGATATAAAGATGAATAAAACAACGTCTCTCAAGGAGTTCCCAAGTAATTTTAGCTCTCCTATACATATGGAATCGATATGATGCTCATATATTTTTGGAGAAGAAGATGATAGAGACTTTGTTGGGAAAAAAAATTGAAATTAATTTAATACAATCAAAATTTTATAAGTGAAAGGGAAGTTTATAAAATCTTTAGTTATGTAAATTATGCCAAATGATAATGTGTTTACAAGTACCTTGCTGGTAAGAGGAAAACACAAAAACATGATCTGAGTCTCAGGAGAACCTATGAGGGCCTTGGACTCCCATGTGGATGCTGCAATCAGTCAGAGTGTCTGGCCCATCTTCTCCACTAATGAGTCTCACCTTCTCTTCTAGTGATTCATTTCTTTAGGTCTTATGGGAAAATCTCCATTTAGAAATTGGGATTTATGTTTGCTTTCGTGAAATCTTGTCAATATGAACTGTGTTAGAAATCTTATAGCTGGAGTAACAAATAATTTATCTTAAGGCTATGAAAACAGATCTAGCCACCAACCTTTTGGATGTGATTTAGCATTGGCAAGTTAAGTGCTCTGAACCAAAAAAAAAAAAAAAAAGGAGAAAGTTTAGTTATTATTATTATTTATTTGGTACTGGGGATTGAATTTAGGGGCACTTGACCACTGAGCCATATCCCCAGCCTTATTTTGTATTTTATTTAGAGACAGAGTCTCACTGAGTTGCTTAGCACCTTACTTTTGCTGAGGCTGACTTTGAACTCATGATCCTCCTGCCTCAGCCTCCCCAGCCGCTGGGATTACAGGTGTGTGCCACCGTACCTGGCTGTAATTATTATTATTTTTTTTGCCAAATGAAATCCACTTAAACAGATTAGTTTAAAGCATTTCCTGACCTCCTTAAAAATTATAAAATTCAATGAATTATCCATCCTTTTACTTTCTTTTTTTTCCTCTAGGAATGTAATATAGAATATTGTCTAATTTTAAAATACAATATTCTCCTCTTATAAACAAGGAACATGTTCTAAGATTTCCAGTAGATGCCAGAAACCATGGACAATACCCAATGCTACATACAGTATGTTTTTTCCTGTACGTATCTACCCGTGACAAATTTTAATTTATTAATTAGGCACAATAAGAGTAATATATGTATATTCTATTTTTAGCATAAGTATTTATAGAAAGTATCTATTATTTTGTTTATTGATAATTTACCTAAATGACATCATGGTCCACCCACAGATCTATAGTATGGGATTCTTCACTCTACATGTTTTTCAATATTGACAACGACAGGCTTAGTAGTCAGTAACTCTAGGTTATATCAGTACAAAAGGAATAAAAGAAGGTTGGGTTGCTCGGGGGCTGCTTCTTCTACTTAGCGTAGTACCGTCTGTATACACAACATGGCAGGGGCTCTATTATAAAGGTTACCATTTGAGATAAAGTAAGAAGACCAAGCTATAAAAAGTTCAACACAAGAATCTGGCTATACTGGTCAATGCAAAATAAATCCTCAAAACCGCAAGAGAGTTAGGCATTCACTTCCCTAGGTGAACAAACAGAGAGGATTTTGCAATTGTCCATTTAGACTAACTTCTAAACAGTAAGCCGTTTGGCTATCATTTTGAAAAGACTTGGGTTTTTTTTTGTATACAATTCTTATTAACACTACAGTTATTGTCTGGCAGCAGACAGTACAGCAGTATATAATAAATTGTCTTCTTTTCCACCCATTTTTCTTCTGCAGTTATTTCATGCTTAAAATTTTGCATACAAGTTCACAATCTTAACTACAAAATAATTAAAACTGTCCAATATAATGTTTTAAAATATATTTAAAGAATAAAATATTTTTTTATCATGTTAATTTATTTAAAAGTTATCAGCATAATTTAATGACAGGTTAAAATTAAAATGGGCTTAAGGAGTTAATAATCAAATATTTATTTGTATTAGCAGTTCAATAATTATATAGGGACTCCAGTGTCCTTTTTCATATGGAGGAACCAAAGGTAATTGGATGGAGGTTAATAAGGATAGTAGCTCTGAAAAGGTATTTTCCAATTTGTAGACATTTTCCCTTCAAATAACATTTAATAGGGAACAATTATACAGTGCTTGCCAAATACCAGGCACTCACAAACATTACATATTGTAACTGTATACTAGTCATGTGAGACAGGTACTACCATTAACCCCACTTTGCAAATAAGGAATTTGATAACAATGAGCTTGGGAACTCGTCCAAAATCAAATGATTAAAATGAAGCAGAGGTGGAATTTAAACTGGTGCAGGTTGTCTTCCGAGTTTATGCACTCATACAGAATGTTGTTCTGTTTCTCTAGCACACACACACACAAAATATGTGTTATCAGGTGGGAGCAGGTGAAATTTACATTTGAACAATAGTTCTATTGTGTTAAGGGTTTGAAAACCATGTCAATGAACATTGTATTAGTAATTCTATTTCCATTTTCCTAAATAAATAAAACTATTGCCATGTCATTTTCTTTCCAGTGGTCTATTGGAAACCACTAGTTTAAATAGGAATAAAACAGAAAGCCTCCATTTAAAATGATTTCAGATAAGTATATTTTAGAAAAAAAAATGTAAATGAGTGTTGGTCCCTTTAAATTGACCTGATAAGCTAGAACCTTACTTTACCAACTCTAGAATTTTCCCCAAATTCATAACTGTGCACATATGAATAGATGTGCAGTTAAAAATGCATCTGTGTGTGGACTTATGTATGCATGTGTTACATTTTGTACATATCCTCAATGGTGGAAAACTTTTGTTCTCTGAGGATGGATTTATTTGGAGATAATCAAGGTATTTTAAGCTAAGATGGGCCGATGATGTAGAGTTGAACAATATTAATTGGAAGTAAAAATAAGTTTTGAATTATTTTTTCAGTTAAAAATAATTCAATGGTCTTTTAAACCTGTAATCATCAACTGTGACATTTACTTTTGTTAGCAAAATATCCAAGTATCTTTGCAATTTAATTCCATATGGTGAGTCTTCTCCTTCCCCCTCCACCACAGGCCTTTATTTCTGTTTCTCTTCATTAGTAAGTTAGAAATTTGGATGGTAACTTCTTTGTATATGAACTCCATGCTGTTTTCTAGATTATGCAACACCAGGTATACTTTGTGTTAAAAGAAACGAAACAAACAAAAATCAGCATTGTTAGATGTAATGCTACATGAATGTACAAATTTCAGGCACCTTGTAAAGTCCTACCCTCATTAACAGTTCATCAGAAGAATTTTTCATTTTTATAGTAGACTGAAACATAATTTTCCTCCATTTTCACATTTATGAGGGAAAAAATCAGAAGTGGTTGAGATCCATTTGTTGTATGAAAGTGAAACTCTTCTCAGCATAATCCCTCTCTTGTCCAGTAAGGGAGTTCTCCTAACCACTGCTGCCATCTGCTGGTCTTGCGATGTTTAGATTTTAGAAAAAGCTGTGCATAAAGTTCCACTCAAGATGATGCAAAATGCAAGTATCATTAATAGGTAGTTTCGTAGACCCTGAAAAATAAAATAGAATAACAGCAATGAAGAAACTGGAATAAACTGCTTTTATGAAAACAGAAAAGCCAGAAGAGGCAACTCTAAGCAGTCATGTACATAACTGCAGTCCATCCATCCAGAATGGATGCAAGGGAACCAGTAAGGAGGCTCCTGCAGTCCTGTGTTAAGCTGAAGTATTTTATTTCCTACAAGATCTATCTCTAGGGGTACAGAACGATTGACTTTAATATCTCTCTCACAAGAGAGAAAAACCAGATTCTTTCAAGATTGCTTAGTATCTTACTATCTGCTCTACACACCTGGTATTTTTTTTCCCCCTACCCTCTCCTAGTAATAATCCAAATTCTTTTGAAAATTTGCAAAATTCTCACTAACTCACCCACAGTGAGCACCAACTATGCATGCCCTAACCCAGTTAATCACATACTACAAGTGACAGGGATTAATCAAGTAATTACCCAGAGGAATGCTATAACATGAAAGGGGTGTTCATAAAGGAAACCATTGTGGTTGTCTGAGAGTGTGTTATAAGACTCTTTTAAAGCTGGTTTGGAAGGTGGGGAGTTAGACTTCTAATTATGAGTATCGATGGATTGCCCAGGAAAATAGGGCTGCAGTCAAGACTCCAAGTAGAAGGAATTTTATGTGCTGTTGTAAGAGAAAGCATGATACTTCCCAGGGACTAAAACAACAGTCTACTGGAGCAAGGAGAGGTAAGTGGAGCTGATGAGGTGGAGGGCTATGGATCTGCTTGAGCATTCGGAACTTCTTATGCTTTGGGCTTATTATGCAATGGGAAGACATTGAAGGAATGGACAACTGTGGGTGCTGAAAAGATCAGGATTGCATTTTGTAAAGCTTACACTTTTTGAAGTATGGGGAACAAATCAGAGAGGGCCAGAATGGATGCAAGGGAACCAGTAAGGAGGCTCCTGCAGTCCTCCAGGGAAAGATGAGGAAGAGTAGATGGAGAGGTGGACACCAAACTAAAGCATGAAGAAGAAATGCAGACAGGTGTGAACTATGATGAAGACTAACTTTCCTAGCCATATATGAAGCACTGGTGTTAAAGATGGGAAACTCGGAGCACCACATCCCAGTGTAGCTCAGTCCATTTTTGGACTCATAAAGAAATATCTTCCTGTGTTAAGCTGAAGTATTTTATTTCCTACAAGATCTATCTCTAGGGGTACAGAACGATTGACTTTAATATCTCTCTCACAAGATAAACCCTCAAATAGTGAAAAATAACTATTTTATATCCCCGGAGGCATCTCTTTTCCTGGTCAATAGTTTAGCTCCTTTGAGCATTTCTCACAAGGAATGACTTCAAACTCCCTCACTGTCCTGGCCAATCCCCTCTGAATGACTGCTAGTGGGTATATATCATTCTAGGGAGATGAACCCCAGTACTCTAAGGCCAAGATTGTCCAAAATAAGACAGGGCTAATAACCTCTAATTTTAGACATATGTTCTTAGATCATTTTCAGATCTTCTAATAATGAAATCACATGATTCTATTGTTAGCTGTTCCTCTTTAAAGGAAAAAATAACAGTTATTTAATTATGTCACATGGAGGACACACAGGGGTTCTGAGAGGAAAACAGAAAAGCCAGAAGAGGCAACTCTAAGCAGTCATGTACATACTGCTTAGAGTTGCAGAAAACGGGGCTGATGGCCTCCCTCTTGTGATAACCCTGGCCACTGGGGTCTGCCAGGCTAACTGTGAAGCTACACAAATTTGGGGCAAAACTTCGGGGAAGGCTGTGGGAATGGGGTGCTCTGTCAGCTGACTTGTACAGGAAGTGGGTTCATAAAAGCAGTATCCTGGGGCCTGTCAGGGGTGGATCCTCAGGGCTGAGCTGGACTCCTAAGTATCTCCACCAGTGCTATCCACGTAATCAGTGAGGAGCATGCACCATTTGGGTTCCTGTGGACAGCCTGGCATACAACACACAAAGGCCTAGGGAGATTGTTTGCCCTTGCAAAGATCACAAGGGGTGCAGAGATTTTCTGTCCTGACTGCCCTTCTGTCAGATCTGCTTTGAGTGATACCCAGAAAGGGCTAATTGGGCTCCTCCAGGGAAGTAGGGTCAGGGTGGAATAGGCCAGGCTGGCAATGTATGCATCACTTTGTTTCCTGGCTACCCAGGGGAACTGTCATGGCAAAGGGTGGCTTTTGTTGAGTCTCACTCTACCTCCTTCACTGATCCTTAGAGGTCTTAAAATGCAGAGATCAGAGGTAGATGTGTGTACAGACATTAGACAAAGCAGAAATGGTATCCAGGATGGGTCAGATGTGGACTGCCAAGGAAGCTGTTCTTTCATATTACTAGCTCTTAAAACACCTAATGTCAAGTAATATATAACCCGAAACAACCAAAATTGTATGTACCTCTTTTTTCAACTTTATAAAGAATTGTGTCAGAAAAAAATTTCAAAAATTCCCTCTGTTTCATGGTCAGAGATAGATCTTGCTAAGCTGGTTGAATCATCTGATTCTCTGTGAACATCTTCACTCCTTGAAGTCAGTTTAATCACAACTTATATAAGAGAAACAAAACCTTGCTAAGTACAGAGCTGCTAACACATCCACATCCACACTGGCCAGGCGCAGTGGCTCACACCTGTTATCCTAGCTACTCAGGAGGCTGAAAGCAGGAGGACTGCAAGTTTGAGTCCAGTCTCAACAATTTAGTGCAACCCCGTCTCAAAATACAAAATTGAAAGAGTTGGGTATGTACCTCAGTGGTAAACTGCCCTTAGCTTCAAGTCCTAGTACCAAAAAACCAAACCAAACCAAACCAAACAACCATACACATAAATCTTGCACTAAGGCAAGATATTTCCCAATATCTTTTTCTTAGCTTTCAGAACTTTAATCTTCTCCTAGATAATAATGTTGCAGCAGAATAGACACTCAACAAAAATTTGTTCAAAGAATGAATACATTCATATGGTTTGTAAATGTGGTTTGTGAATTAGAAATTGATGTGATTATTTAACTTAAAAAATGGGGCTTCAATTATAAGCACTCTACAATTTAATTGTGTGGACACTTTGCTAAGTTCTGTTTTATTATCTATAGAGCTAGAAGAATAATGTTCTCAGGCAAAAAAAAAAAAAATCCCCTTCAAGATTAAGAATCAGAATCAGCCCAAACTGTCCAGTCTCCTACAGAAAAAGACCAACTATATTTGAGCAGCACCAAGTTTTCCTTTATTGAAGTGAATATTAACTCCTGGAAAGTATACGCTAAGAACCAAGCTAAAAGCTTTTAACTTTGATTTCTGAAAGAGTTGCTAAATAATAGATCATCTCATTCTTCATCTGAGAGTAGCTACTAATGTATAAATTGTGGGAATAATTCTTTGCATTGGTATTACTGTAGACATACTGACTGAAGTGTTTTAGTAAAAATGTGATCTATAACTTTCTTAACGTAATTATTACTTCCCCAAGAGTAATGGAAATCAAGTACAAAAGAGCATCAGAAGTGCAGAAATGTCCAACTGATGGCTTTAAACTAAACCAAATCATTAAAACTCTTTCACATAAAAGGTGCTCTGACCGCAACCTAAAGTCCTGGCAGGTGTAGGTTGTGGAATTTTAAATATTTCCTAAGGACTACTTCAAGATACACATCTGGCAAGATCTAAAAGCCATAAAGATAAAGGTTTTGCTTTTGGTTTCTTTTACAGTTTAAATAGTTTCATCTTGTTTCTAACAAAAAATACTTTAAAAAATACTTGGGAGGATTTTGGGTCTAGTATGTAGTGTTTATTTTTCATAAATTGCATGTAAAGTATTTAAAAATTTAAATATCTGTCAAGAAGTAATTAGACATCTGCACCTAATGACAAATACCACTAGACAGCCCTTAAAAAAATGCTGTTTTTAGGGAGACTTATAAGTTTTTTTTTAACCCAAGAAATGTCAATAATCTCCTCTTTGCTTTGAGCTTGGTTCTCTCTCCCTTTTAATATCTGTAATTTTTATCGTAGTCATTTTTCTATAAATAGAAAAGAGCAGAGAGTCATTTCTATATTTAAAAGTCCTCATTTTTATAAGAAAATTGTCCTAGCTAATCTAAATTGCATATGTTTTAAAATATGGAATGTGCTCTGTCATTTTTCTAATATTTATTTTTTGCCTATTTTTATTTACATAATAGACAAAACTTTAAAATCTACTCTGGAAATTGAAGACAGGGCTCCACTGGGACTTTATAGGAATCATGCTGAATGGAATTAAAGAGAACTGCCTAATTATAACCATGAATTGTCCTATCAGGAATATGTCAAGTCTCCCATTTGCTCTGATTATCTATGACCTATGGTAAATTTCTGTAGTAAAGTAAAATCCTTTATATATCTAGCACATTTCCTGTTGTTTTTCTTAGATTTTAGTGGGTTTTTCTACAGTTAATAATGACATTAATTTTCTTCTTTTTAATTGGTAAGGGGTAGTGTATTAGAAAACTGTTGATTTTTTACTATCATAAACCTTACCAAGTGATCTTATTGAATCTTCAGATTTCAGCTCATTCTTTTAATTTTTTTTAAAAAATTATATAATCTGCTAGTGATAAAATTTTCCTTTCCTTTTCTCTATCTATTCTTTTATTTCCGATCCTTGTCTTAACAAACTGTCTAGAAAGTGCTGAATAATCCTGGTAGTAGAGAAATCTTTGACTTTCTACTTATAAAGAACTCTTTTTTCACCTTAGACATGTATTTTCTGTTGTTTGTGGTGCTGGGGATCAAACCCCAGGCCTTATGGATGCAGGCAAGTGCTATACCAATGAGCTACACCTTTAGCCATGTTGTGGTTCTTTGATAGACATCCTATACTAACTAAAGTTTCTGTCTCTCTCTAGGTTATTAGGAGGTTAATGTAGTACATATCACCCCATCTTTTCTCTGCTTATCCGGTATTATAGTAAATAATATTAATTGATTTGCATATCATGAGCTCTCCTTGCATTCCTAAAGTGAACACTAATTGGTCATGGTACAATGGCCCTAAAAATTACTTTTCTATTTAGTCTGAGGCATATTTTTGAAGATGCTTTTAGTATTGTTATGGGCAATGAATTCCTGGATAAGATGCTAAAAGCATGGAAAATAAAACAGGAACTGACAAATGGGATTACATTAAATTAAAAAGCTTCTATACAGGATAGGAAACAATTGACAGAGAGAAGAAAGAACCTACACAATGGGAGAAAATATTTGAAAGCTGTTATCTGACAGAGAATTAATATTCAGTATATATAAAGAACTCAAAAAACTTAAAAACAAGTAATCTAATAAAAATGGATAAATGATCTGGACACTTTTTAAAAGAAGAAATGCAAATAGCCAATAAATATATGAAAAAATGCTCAATAATCTTAGCCATCAGGGAAATGTGAGTCAAAGTTGAATTGAGATCCCATCCCACCCCAGTTAGACTGACTATTATTAAACAGAACAAAACAAAACCAATAATAATAATAAAAAAAAACCATTGGCTAGAATGCAAAGAAGTTTTATTTACATAATAAGCCATACACAATGTGACCTTTAAAATGAAAAAACTTCATTTAAAATGATCAAAGTGCTTTAAATATAAAACTGAATAATCATTTTAAAGATCAGCTAAGAATACATTTACTTTATGATTCCCAGAGAACAGCAACATCAAATCTTAGTAGCAGGATACTATATATTAAATAGAAAATATTGTTTATGATGCCTTGGCAGAAATTCTTTGGATTTATATTATCTTTAGTTAAAAAACATTATACAATTTTATTATCATATAGTCCTCAACTGAAGATTCTTTCCACTAATAAAGGTACATGAGAAAAGTTCTAAATTATTTTGTAATGAAGCACACACACATTTACTAGAACTATTTGATGAATGTAATTTATAGTTCCCACTATCATATTTGAAATGGGAATAGTAGCCATCTGTTACCAAACTGCTTTCCTAAAAAGTTGCTGGTTTGAACAGCTTATGGACCAACATAAAGACGCAAGACCAAATTCCATTTTCCTCAAGAGACTTTTTTTTAAGAATTTTCTTTAATTTAAATATTTTATTAGTTGTTGATGGACCTTTACTTATTTATATGTGGTGCTGAGAATCGAACCCAGTGCCCCACACATGCCAGGCAAGTGCTTTACCACTGAGCAATAAACCCAGCCCCCAAGAGACATTTTAACCTTTGATATACGAAAAATTTCATGTTATTTATCTATATTATTTTACACTAAACAAATTTCTCTCTATTATGTTTTATTAGGTTATTTAACTGTAATCCCCTTCAGGGAAATTAAAGCCAACTGAAGTGGAAAGAGACCTGATAAATAATAATAATTATTACACACCTAGTATTTTCTTTCCTATTTAGATATTAGAACATTTTAAATGTTGGTCTGTCAATCCATCCATGTATTGTCTACCTTAGGCCTTGAAGTCACATATAGTTTTCAGGAAATAACACAAATATAATATTAAATACCCTTCTTACCTGGCCATAATCCAGACATGCTCTTATACATACCTGTATTTCCTTAAAAATGAAAACACCCCACAATGCAGCTATAAATCCTGGTCCCTTAAATAAAAATAAGAACTTTAATTAAATTGGATATTTTTCTTACAAGTGTGCTCTACGTAAATATAGTAAGTTTGAGATAATATATAAATATTTTCATGGAAAACTACCCATAATCTCAACCATAACTTTATATTAAACTAAACATAAAGTAACATTAAGTAAAAAAAGAAGTCTTTTTCTTTATGGTTTTTATTTTTATTATTTTGATGATGCTATAATATTTTTTACCATAGCATATTTTTCTTTAATGTGATACAATTATAATAAGTCATTTCAATATACAAACAGCTTATTCTTATTTTTTTCCTATTGAGAAATAGACAGTAGAAATGGAATTAAGAAGATAAAGTGCACCAACAAACTTTTTCTTTGGCATAAAAGTCTCATAACTGAAGAAATTTCAGCGTGTTCTTTGGGCCTCGCAAGCAATGTGCACATGAAAGAAAGCAGCAGGTACTTTTTTTTTTTTTTAAAAAAGTTACTTCTGCAGAGACTCGAGAATGCCTAACACTAAACATAAATAAGTGCTGAATATGCTTACATGGAAAGATTAAAAATATATATAATGAAAAAGAATACAAAAGGAGGAGAGAACATTAACCAGGAGACAAAGACAAAAATGAAATAATTTAGAAGAAAGAAAATGAGAAGAAATGGGATGAAGAAATAGAATGATTCTGCAATATGAAAACTTTAAGTTTTGATTTAATTTGTTCTCAGTCAACAAGGAATAGAACAACAGAGGAATTGGGGTTAACCATGGTCTTTGTGGAGAAGATGTGTCACATCAGCATGTTTATGATCCTTTTGGAACCCAGCAGGAGCTCTAGAAGAGTTTCAAAATAAATGATTCCAAAAAGTCTTCCTCCATTACTCCTCCACCTGTCTAAGTGACTGTGTCAACAAAGTTTGATTCCACTCTGGCACAGGAGTGAAGCAATAAAAATATTTTCCTCTGTGTTTATCAGCATCTGCAAAGTCAACATCAAAAGGGCTAGAGAAATAGGTCAAAGGGACTGTCTTTTATCAGTGATGCAAAATTCTGAGCCTCCAAATCCAAACCAAATGAGAAGCATATGGGTCTTTCAGGCAACTTCACGCTGACTAGAGACAGGATGGAGGAAACAGTAGAAGAGATAAAACATTATTGCTATGCCAGTTGCTCAATAATTTGTATCCCCTTTGCTCCCCAAATTCATTTCCCTTCAGAGAATATGGTAGAAGACAATACCACAGGTGTCACTGTCCTTTGAAGCTTTCTGTCTGATGATTTTCTAAATATAAGTTCAGACATGGCTTGAGCATTCCTGTAAGGAGTAGTGTGCTTTGTTGAAAGCAGGCAAGTATAGATCAAAGTCAGTATACACTCTGCTTCTGGCAAAGGGCAACACGTTGTATTTTCTACTGAGAGCATCTTAATTGAACATATGACTATTTTGAAAATTGGCGTTGTATCTTTTCCTTTTGGAAATTAATACAAATTAGATCTCAATCAGCCTTTGAGAACAAGGTATGTTTGATTCTATTTTAAGAAGTTGGACCTTCTGGATAAAGTGATGCAGTTTTTATCAAACAAGATTTAGAGCACAAGTCCTTGTCCTTGCTAGATGTGTTTCCTTCCTTCCTTCCTCCTTCCTCCCTCCCTCCCTCCTTCCTTTTTAATTGAATATTACTTGCTAAAAAGAGATGCCTCTATCAAGAAACTTACAATCTAATCCCCACAGGAAGCCTGGATACAGAAATGGATGCATGGAAATGCCTGTACCTGAGATGCTGGGATTTTAAAAGTATATTCTTGACTAAGTAATACTGACTGTATTCATAACTGTTGAAGCTGTGTGTTGGTGTATTTTTGAAATACTATTTTAAAAAAGTTTTTAAAAATCCAGCTTTACCAAAACAAAACAGAACAACAACAACAACAAAAAACAAAACTAAAATCAACCAAACAACAAAACCAAAGAATATAAACTCCTTAAGGGTAGGAACTGAGCCTTTTCTGCATGCAAATAAGGCTGTCCTTGAATAGAGTTGGAAAGGTGGAACAAGGAGGAAGCTAGGAACAATAGAAAATGAAGATCTAGTCCCTCCTCTGCCCCACATCCTGTTTCAATGTTTAAAAAATATTCATTTTTACAGGTTTTCACAGGTGTGCTACTAAAACATTTTTGCAAATTGTTTGCCATGATGACTTAGTAAGCAGAGAAGGCAGGAAGATAACTGGCAAGCAATCCAAGATGTCTAGAGGACACATTAATGCATTCCTGTGGATCTAACAGTCCTAGTACCATAATGGATCTGGACTGGATTCCACACTGCCAGCAGAAAGTAGCACTGTATACCTGAAACTCTGTACTTAGATATGTTCAGATTTCCACTAGTCATATGACTTGGATAATGCTCTTAGTTATTGCCTCAGTTTTCTCATCTTTAAAATGAGGATCATTCTATTAATACTTATCCTGATTATGCCTAAGGAAACATTTTTTATATCAAATTATATTTTACATAAATGACACCTAGAAAATCAGATGAAGCAAATTGTCTTAAGTATGCTATGATAAATGGCATCATTCAGGGCTAATACTTTGCCTTAGTATTTTCTGAAATTTGTCCTTCATAATAGTGTAACACCATATCAAGAAGTGTCTGATACTTTCAGTTTCAGGGACATCAGGAGATTTAAGTGGGATAACATACATACAACCATTTGCTATAATCTGTTTTACTAAGATTGATATTATAAATAGCAAATTATGATTTATCTAAGATAATAGGCAAAATGATCAAACAAAAATAGCAAGGATATTAAAGATTAAACATTAGTTAGCAAACCTGTTAAAATGAGATTATTAATGTTCCTTAACAATCAAGGACATGAAGATTAGAGAGAGCTTGTTGTAGATAAACAGATTCTGTACCTGGATAGTTTATTCCTAAAGAGATCAAATTCTATGACAGGCTTTAATGATTTCCTAAGAGTGCTCAGAAAAAATAGATTTGATTTGAAACACAAAAATTTGGACAAACAATTTTTGTACTTACAGAAGTGATTATTGGAAAACTGACCACAGCACTTAGAGAATGATTAGCGATGAACCAGCAGCAGGTAGCTATGGCCCAAAGCACTCCTGACAGGAACCCTGAAACACACACAGACAACCCTCATTTGAAAGCTGTGCTCTGCTCCTGAAAAATTCACTCTTCCAACACCACAGGAGCATCAAAGTGCACAGACAATGCATTCCTATCAACATTGTTGACCAATATGGGTTCTTGAACTGTGTTTTATGGGTCAATTTAGAAACCAAATTATTTCTCTGCTCTTGACTGCTTTCTCTTTGTTGACAATAAATAAAGTACCCAAAGTGGAGTTCAGGTAGAAATTGGGTAGTAGAGAGAGGCCCAGGGAAGTACTGGATCTTAACATTTCCTGCAAAACCATTTACTCTGAACTATAAACATAAAGAAGAGGTGAAATTCAGAATGATGCTAGAACTAAGGGGAAAAATTCATAGCATTTAACTGAAAGTATTGGCTGAATTCTCACAATACTTTGGGTAGTCAGTAAATATTCTACCATTTTCTAGAAGTTGATACACTTCAGCAAAAATGAATCAGGATTTCAAAATAAACCTCTAATTTATTAAAAATATTTTATTAAAATTTTTACTTGTGGTCCTATATCTCCAATTGAATTATAATAAACTCTTAAGTGAGAAATTATTATTTTAACTATCAGTGCCTAATGGTTTAAGAATGAATGCATATGTATTTTAAATACACATTTTTTGTACTCTAACAATCATTCAAGCTAAATGAATAGAGGATGATAGTTTCACAGAGTAATGAGATTTTCCATAGTTGATATTCTTACCTGGCAAGACTGCCTCAGGATATAGTTTGGGACTATTTTTCATGGCTACACAGTAGGCCAGAAAGTAGACTGTACTCGTAAGAAAGATGCCACTGAAGTGTGCAAAAACATAGTCTAAATCTGAAAATACACATCATAAAATCTTACACATCATTTTAATCACCCCAAGTACACTTAGCCTGCAAATAAAACAAACTCACCAAAATTAACCTTAAAAGTAAAGGAACCATTAATTACATTTGATCATCCTCAGATTTTACATGTGTTTGTATAGAATATTAAGAAACATATTCATAAATAGAAATATTAAGTAGTAAATTAGTTACTATAATCAAATCTAAACATCAAATTTTTAAAAATTATTATCTTGGAAAGCTAAATAAGACAACAATGAACATAACGTGACCATGATGTTAACATATTTCTTTAAAATTTTTTTTTGTAGTTGTTAGTGGACAGAATACCTTTATTTTATTTGTTCATTTATATGTGGTGCTAGGGATTGAACCCAGTGCCTCACACATGTAGGCAAGCGCTCTGCTACTGAGGTATAGCCCCAGCCCAATGCTTCCTTTTTAAAGGTAGGTATTCAGACCTCATTTTACTAATGACTGGCAATTGTAGCAAATCTTCACCTCAACTGAAGAGGAGGTATGGATAAAACCATCTGGGAGGTGCAAATTTTATATGGTCTATTAATCAATCTTGAGATCAGCAGCTCCACTGTGGATGACAACAATACAGAAAGATATGCCAGAAGTTGTTTCAAAGAGAGTTTTATTGAATTGTTTACTATAAATGGAGTTGCACAAAGGAAAGGAGTAATAACACCTGATGGTGCTGATCTCTGAGAAACCCTAATTCTACTGACAGGTTAAGCAGATGGCACTCTGGCCACACAGATGGATGCACTACAGGTTTTTGGCTGGCAAAGTCACTTTGGATTCAATGTTTCTGTCACCTAAAATTTTGACAAAGATGAGTGGGCTTTCTTGTGGATGAATGCTGAAGGACAGAGAGTTTGTCTAATTCTTCTTAATCTTAAATTATACTTCTGGGTCATACAAGAATGATACTTCTGTAAATAGACCTCCACAAAAGACAACATAAAATAGCAATTAAAAGTACTGACTACCTCTTTCTGCACTTAATGTGAGACTTGGGCAAATCACCTGATGTCTCTCTGACTTAATTTTATCAGTGGTAAAATGAGGACAACAATGGTATCAATTGCTATGAGGGCTAACAGAGTATTTGCAAAGATCTTACAACGGATGATACATATGTGTTTGTTAAATAAATAAAATAAAAATAATGCCCCTTAGAATTATTTTTAATAAAGTGGAATAAAGTGTGTTCCCATCAGATTACATGCAGAATTGTGGTAAGGAAGATCTCTAAGAACCCATTGTTCTATTTGTGTAAAGACATTGTTGAGGCATTGTTTATTATGTCCCAGTACCAAGAACAACTTTACTCCTGAACAATTTGTTCTTTTTATATTGTGTTCACTGAATCCTAGGACTGATCTAATTTCCCTCATGGCTACAAGAAATCGGAGAGCCAAATTTATGCTCATTTCTTGCAAGTGTAGTAGAAAGTTTTTAGACTTATTCCTGGTTCCATTTATTTCCTCCCTCTTGCTTTTCCCTTTTAATTTATCCTATGTTATCCTATTTTTATTAGTTTTCATCCTTTAAAAATGAAAAGAATACAAATATGAAAAAGTATTTGTATGATACCTTAGCAAGAAAGACAGAAGTCAATAAAATGGCTGAGTACTGTATATGAGGCTAAATATAAAAAGGAAGAAGGAAATGGTGGCATCTACCCAAAGTCTGTGTGCTCTGTTCAAGTCAAGTTAAATGTCTGCTTCTTCATTAACCTTTCCCTCATGACTTGTGCTCTCCAAACTTTTCCCTTATCTGAACACAGGTCATGTTAATTTTCTGTACCATATGATCTAGAATTTTATTTCACTCGTGTTTTAATTCCCTTATCATTTCATAGGCGTAAGGCATGTTTCAGTATGATTACAGAACCCCAGAGTAGATCCTCTTTCCTCTCCTCCTGACCCTGTTCAAGGCTATCGCATACAGTGTTGAGTTTAATCTCTGAGAGATTAATTTTACCATTAAATAGTGAGATATTATCAGGAAGCATTATGTTGAGCCTTTCAATGTACCACCCTGTGCTTGAAAAAATAATATCTTCTGACTCAATAGACTGTACTTTGACCTTTACTTGATTTAAAAGTATTATGTACCACACTTTAGCCTTTTCTAAAAAAAGCAAAAGAATACATATTTTCCCAGCGATCATCTAAATGGAAAATATCACCAAATCTTGCTGGAAAGCCAAAAATGATGTGCTAAGATCCCAGTAGTTGAAATGAAGCCTGACTACAGCTGATTCTATTTGTATGTTAAAGATCACATGAAAATACTCTCAGTCCTTTATTACTTTTAGTCTTCAGGACTTTTCTAAATCACCATTCACAAGTGAAAAAGTAAGGGGCTGGGTTGTGGCTCAGAGGTCGAGTGCTTGCTTGGCACATGTGAGGCACCGGGTTCGATTCTCAGCACCACATAAAAATAAATATATGAAATAAAGGTATTGTGTCCAACTACAACTAAAAAATGTTAAAAAAACAAGTGAAAAAGTAAGATCAAATATACATACCAACATATACTATATCACATTGCTTTTCATATTCTTAACACAAGTAGGTATTAATGAATTTGCTTATAAAGTAAAATAACATTTTATTCTCACCATACTGGCTTGCCCCTGCATATATGCTATCATTTCTTTTGCTGTGGTCCTTAATATAAATGATTGGCACAAATGTAGACCCATAGAGTATTCCAGATATCACTGCAAGACTGCAGCCCCTTTGGAAACAAAGATAATTCACCATGAATCTCGGCCCAGAGCAATATTGCTGACAAACACACAAATGGAATCATAAGTAAAGCAAGCTTCAAAATGCAGATCACAGGTCTTTAGCAGAAATCACTCATCTAGCTCAAGCTCTGTGATTGGCAGAAGTCAAAGGAGTACCCTGCAGTATTAAGTGGCATGAGAACCAGGACAGGCACAGTCTGTTGTCTAATTTTGGAAGTACATGAATTGCCAAAGTCAGAGTGGATTACTGCTATAAGCTGTCATCACACACCATAAGATGGGAATATTGCTTCCATTGTATTGTACAGTCTACATAAATAAAATTGACTCTTCAATTAAATTATGAGCCATTTATGGAAAGACACTATGCCTGATGCATCTTTTAAAAACACGGTATAATATCCAGAACAGAACTATGATAGACAAAGTACTAAGTACATTTTTGTTGAAAACAACTTTTGAGACCCACAGACTTGTTTATGCATTCTTTGACTATGGCATGGTCAAGGGGAAGTGCTGACTTAATCCAATAATCTGGATATTTCAGGTAAAATATTCCCTTTTTATAAGGAGAAAAATGTTTCATATTAAGCACTGGAGTCATGCTGATTTCTCAGACTTGGGCCTTGTTTCCACAAAGCAGAGATTGCCAGTGATTTTGGGGGAGAGGTGATTATTATTTTGCAATAATCCCTTTAACTTAATATAAGCTGTAATAACATGAAACAGGAAATTTAGGCAAAAATGATTCCCTCCTAAGCCTAAAATCAAATTCTTATTCAATTTTAATACTTCTTAATTAAGGAATCAATATAATTGATCTCCTTAAGGTAGAGGAAAAAAACAAACCAAAACAAAAAAATCATTAAGGATTTTTTTCTCACACTGGAAATCCCTGGGCCATGTGAGAAATGGTTTTCATGGAGAAATGGTTTTTCATGTCCCCAAAACAAACAAGACATAAACCAGGCCTGCTTAGTTATAAGGCAATTAAAAATCTTATTTCTTTAACAAATATCCCCTTAAGTGGGGGAAGATGATTCATGAAAAACAAAAATAAAAACAAAAAAACAAACATTTGAAAATATTTGAAAAAATGTTTTATTTGAAGATTTCATACTGTGGCAAAAATAGCAACACATTTATTTCTTTTACAGCTTGCTTATTTGTTCATTCTTTTATTCATTTAATTTTTTAACTGTTTATTTCTCTGCTTATTTCCACTATGAAGATAGTATATATATAATTAAAAGCAAAGCTTTAGACTGGGGATAGAGCTTGGTGATAGAGTGCTTGCCTAGCATGAACAAGGCCCTGAGTTTGATGCCCAGCATCTCTCTCTCACACACACACACACACACACACATCTATTTATATATACATATATAAACAAATATATATGTACATACATATATAGTTTTTTTCTTTTGGTAAAAGGGATTGAACCCAGGGGCACCAAACTACTAAGCCACATTTTATTTTTTATTTTGAGAAGGCTTTTGCTGATTTGCTTAGGGCCTTGCTACATTGCTGAGGCTGGCTTTGAACTTGTGATCCTCCTGCCTCAGCCTTTTCAAGCCACTGGAATTATATGCAGAAGCCAGTGTCCCCAGAGGCTTTATATTCTTGAGGCCAAAAAAAAAAAAACAAAAGGTGTCACCACACAAAGTTCGAAGCAGCTATGAATTATAAAACGCAAGCTGTATATTGTTACATATTTTCATATGTTTTTGTCAGTCCAAAAATTAAGAAAAAAACAAGCAAAAATAAATCTCATAAAACCTTACACCATAAAATAAAACAGTTTTATGTGGAACCTAATTCTCTGAGTCCTTGTAATCGACACAGTGAGGGTAGGACTCACATAGACACAAAATATTACACTATATTTGACAATAGTATCTTGGTATTTTGAAACTGTCTAACACCTGAGTGTGGGGTGGGCATCCTGGGGACTGCTGTACTAGAGAAGTGTATTGCCCTAACTTGATCATCATTACTGAGAATACAATTGATACAAAGGCCATTACACTATCCTGTTTTAACTTTTAGTGCATAGTCTTGAAACATGAGGTGGACTTTGTCACCTGCTTATCATGTGGACTTTGTCACCTGCAATGGCAATGATCCCCAAAGCAGCTGAGCTCATGGGCCTCTGTACTTAAGATCCAGCAGGGGACAAAGAAAACCTCACTCCAAGGGACTAGAAGTCAAAGCTTGTGTTATCTCCTCCTTGAACTCAGAGGAATCTCTCTTCACTCTGGCTACCCTGCTTTAACCAGATATGAGACAGAATAATAAAGAAGTAACCTCTCCTTACACTATGCGGTGGTATACTGTAGGAAGTTTATCCACCCAGGAATAATCAGGACAGGGATCTTGAGTTGTGTTGATCGCCTATTGAAAACATTGGCAGAAACCAAAACAAAAGAACATTCAAGTCATAATTGCTCTGGTGACAAAAAGATTTCCAGTGATTTCCTTTCCTCTCTCAAACATACCTTAAAATATGAACATGCTATCCACACATTTTGATAGCTTGAGTTCATTTCTTTCTGATTCTGTCCCCTCTTTCATTCAGAATGGTTTGGCAGTTGGCAAGTTCTCCACTGACATTTTTCACAGGATAATGTGTGGCTATTTTGATATAGCTATTGAAACTGACAAAGGTCATTAACTCTTGTGGTTCATTTGTATATTTCAACAACCTGTAAAGAAATAGGAGCCAAGAAAAACTTAGGCTCCTAATATGGAATGCCTAAACTCAGTAAGTTTGTTTACTTCAATTTTAGGAACTGAATCAGTTAATAAAATATTTCAAGGAATGTTTCAAAATTAGTCTCGTATTCTAAACAGGAAAAATTATGAGCAAATTCATAATAATACTTCTACTATTGACTGTAATTTTTTGTCTTTCTTAAACTCAAAGTGTCCTTGATGCTGTATCTACACTTTTGTATGAGATAAGAAACTAGGTTTGAATTCTTTGTCATGAGCTAACAAAGTTTTGCTTTCTGACTGAAAGGGCTCAGAACTCATGGCTGCATACTAAGCCATTCTGCTCATTCTGTGTCTTTAGACTTAGCTTGTTCGGATCCTTCCTCCTTGTCTAGGAAAATCTCCTTAGCCTTCTATGTATCTTTAGCAACTTCTATTTCTATTACTGTACTACTTTATTCCTCTGTTTGAAGGTTGGTTGGTTGGTTAGTTGGTTATCAGGGTCCTTAAAATGGGCAACGAACACTAGGAACCTCCCATATTAAGTCGTCCATTCCCCTGAAACACATCTCTGATTACAGATACCTACAGATTAATAAACCTCTTCTCTCTTATGCTTAAGCAAATTATTAGTCAACTTTAGTGCCATACCAGTCATTTTAGTTGATAAATGTTTAACAGGAGATTAAGGAGAGAAGAAAAGATTTATTTTGAAGTAAGGAATAGAAGCAGCATCTTTCAGGGAAAGTGTGGGGCACTGGACTCTGGACCAATGGCAGGAAATCCTTGAGACACAGGAGATTAGTTTCCAGGTTCATGGCAGGGCTTGGCCCTAAAATAACTTCTTTAATATATAGCCAGTGACACGTACACATCAGGTCTCTTAAAAAGGATGTTCCTGTTTGACTCAGATTTGCTCTTCCAGACTAATTTAGATTTGTCAATTTCAGAAGAGTGGCTCCTTATATATTTTGTTTCTGCCTTTATGTAGAACAGGATAATAGAAGAGAAATGGGAAGAATAATTAAGTGTCATTTCTCCTTTCACATGATACCGTTGACTTGTTCATTGGTTTCCTCTGCTCTATTCCTTCTTCAAGACCTCCACCCTGCTGCTTTTCTTTTCCTCTTTTTTAATGTGTTCTTTTTAGATATACCTGACAGTAGAGTGTATTTTAACATATCATACATATGTGGAGTATAACGAGCCATTCTTACGGTTGTACAAGATGTGGAGTTACGCTGGTCATGTATTCATATATGAACAGAGGAAAGTTATGCCTGATTCATTCTACCTTTTTTCCTATTCCCCTTCCCTTCATTCCCCTTTGTCTACTCTATTGAACTTCTATTCTTCCCTCCCACCCCTTGCTTATTGTGTGTTAGCATCCACATATTAGAGAGAACATTTGGCCTTTGGTTTTTGGGGATGGGCTTATTTCACTTAGCATGATAGTAGCCAGTTCTATCCATTTACTGGAAAATGCCATAATTTCATTCTTCTTGGAGACTGAGTAATATTCCATTGTGTATATATACCACATTTTCTTTATCTAAATTGGTTCCGTAGCTTGGCTATTGTGAATTTCGCTCCTTTAAATATTAATGTGGCCACATCACTAAAGTATGCTGATTTTAAGTCTTTGTGGTATATGCCAAGGAGTGGAATAACTGGACTAATGGTGGTTCCATTCCAAATTTCCTGAGGAATCTCCATACTGCTTTCCGTAGGGATTTCACCAGTTTGCAGTCCCACCAGCAATGTATGAATGTACATTTTTCCCCACATCTTCACCAACATTTATTGTTACTTATATTCTTTATGATTACCATTCTGACTGGAATGAGATGGAAATTCAGTGTAGTTTTAATTTGTATTTCTCTAATTGCTAGAGTGTTGAAGATTTTTTTTTTTTTTTTGGTACTGGGGATTGAACTCAGGGGCACTTCCAAGCTACATCCTTATCCCTATTTTGTATTTTATTTAGAGACAGGGTCTTACTGAGTTGCTTTATGTTTTCTTCCTATCTTGATTTCACTTTTACTGAGGCGTGCTTTGAACTCGTGATCCTCCTGTCTCAGCCTTCCTAGCTGCTGGGATTACAGATGGGTGCCACTGTGCCCAGCTTGAACATTTTTTCATATATTTTTTGACCATTCATGTTTTGTCTTCTGTGAAGTGCCTATTTGATTTCTTTGCCCATTTATTGACTGGGTTATTATTATTAATAATCATCATATTGGTGTTAAGTTTTTTGAGTTCTTTGTATATACTGGAAATTAATGCTATAGCTGAGGTGCAGGTGGAAAAGATTTTCTCCCATTCTGTAGGGTCTCCCTTCACACTCAATTATTTCCTTTGCCCTGGAGCTTTTTAGTTTTAATCCATCCACTTATTGATTCTTGATTTTACTTCTTTTGCTTTAGGAGTCTTTTTGAGGAATTTAGTTCCTAAGCCAATATGATAGATTTGGGCATACTTTTTCTTCTAGCAGGCGCGGGGTCTCTGGTCTAATGCATAGTTCCTTGATCCACTTTGGGTTGAATTTTGTGTAGGGTAAGAGTTGAGGGTTCAATTTCATTCTGCTATATATGGATTCCAAGTTTTCCCAGCACCATTTGTTGAAGAGGCTACCTTTTATCCAATGTATATTTTTGGCACCTTTGTTTAGTATGAGATAATTGTATTTATGTAAGGTTTGTCTCTGTGTCTTCTATTTTGTAAAATTGGTCTTCATGTCTGTTTTGGTGCCAATACCATGCTGTTTTTGTAACTATAGTTCTGTAGTATAATTTAAGGTCTGGTATTGTGATGCCTCTGTGTCACTTTTCTTGCCAGGGATTGCTTTGGCTATTCTGTACCTCTTATTTTTTCCAACTGAATTTCATGTTGCTTTTTCTATTTCTACTAGAAACATCATTGTAATTTTAATAGGAATTGCATTAAATCTACCCTACTGCTTTTTAAAGTTTTATTTACATTCCTCTGCAGAATTTAGGGCTTCCTTATTGTACAAGTTCATAAATCAACCTAAAATATGGGGATGCATACATACATCTCCTAGTAGGCATATAACATTCATAAAATAAATAAACCTCTGTGCTTACTGAGGAGCTTTATTGTGCAAATATTGATTGCCTGCTGCACAGACCTAGTCACAATAAGTAAGCTCTTTCATGCAACCATGAGTGAAAAGAAAACTCTACCTCCTCATCTGTATTTCAAATTTGCTGTTTTCCTTCTATTTTGATTTCATGTTTCAAATCAGTTGTCTCTACTGAGACTCACCTGCTCTGTCATTAGTGGGGTGGTGTCCATGGAATATGTGCCATTTGATATTTCACTTTTGATGAATAAGAATATGAAGGCGCTGTAAAGAAAACATATTTAGTGATATTTATCATAACATGTGTCCGCATTAAGCTGCCTTTTAAGCAAAAAAACACACTTTAAATCTTTAAGTACCTATGATATGAACATAACTTCCAAATTGCCACTGCAGTCGTCCTGCCATTTCTTTAGAACTACCTTTCTATCTGACATCTCTCCTTTTGTTTTCTCCTTTCATGTGCCTATCATAATGCACTCTCTACCCACATCTGGTATTTTTATAGCAAATGCCTGACTTAGTATTAAACTGTATTCAATAAGCATTTATTAATCATCTATTATGTTTAAAACATGTTTTAGAAAAGTCTGATGATGATGATGTGAAAGGGTTGTTGTACATGGATAATAATGGATCTTGCTTCTTTCAGGATCTCATAGTTCAACATGCTGATGGGAGGCATGTGGCTAGAATTAAAAGATGCACAAAGTCATTGTGCTTTTGTGGCAGCTCCATTGGTTTCCAGCAAGCTAGCTCAAGGCAGAGGCAATTGATCCAGCAATGCCTGTTGGGCTGTGCTCTCCTTCCCTGTTTTGCTCCATGGGGTCAACAATACCATACCTTCTATTAAATCCTCTGTTATTTAAAATTCCTAGTGTGGCTGGATGCAGTGGTGCATGCCTATGATTCTAGTGGCTCTGGAGACTGAGGCAGGAGGATTTCAAGTTCAAATCCAGCCTTAGCAACTTAGCAAGGCCCTAAACAACTCAGTGAGCCTCCATCTCTAAATAAAATACAAAAAAAGGGGATATGGCTCTGTGGTTAAGTGCCTCTGGATTTAATCCTTTGCACCATAATAAATAAATAAATAAATAAAATACCTAGTGTGGTATTTGGTTATACAGGTTGTCACAGAGGGAAAATGTAAAGCTAGAAATTATCTATACAATCTTTTAAAGATTGAATTGTACAGAGGATCCAAACAGTTGTTTTAATTTTAAATAGAAAAGCAACACCCTCCCTAAACCATATTCCAAGTTTCTTTACACACATCATGAAGCTCCAAGTTTACCCAATGAATGTTCTTCAGAAAAAAAACTGATTTAAATGAGTTAAAGTAATGAAATGACAGATTCTTAAAATTCCTCCCTGAAGAGAAACATAGTTGGGGTCCTAGAGACCCCACAGGAAGAGATCATTGCATGGATTCAGATCTGAGCCAAGCTGCAAGAGTTCTCAAGTACATTGTCTAGTTTAACATAAATTTGATCAGAGTAATGCTACAATTAGGCTTTTTTTTCCCCCTCTGCAGTACCGGGGATTAAACCTGGGGTGCTTTATCACTAAACTTTTTATTTTTAATTTTTTTAAAATTTGAGACAGGGTCTTACTAAGTTGCTGAGACTCGTCTAGAACTTGTGATTCTCCTGCCTCAGTCTCTTGAGTTGCTGGGATTACAGCCATGCACCATCGTGCCAGGCTATAGTTAGGATAGCCCATGTGTTATAGGCTTGGTCCCTAGCCTGTGGTAGGGGAGGTGGTGGAGGAAGTTAGCTCATTGGAGGCTTCCCTGGAAGGAGACTTTGGGAACTGGTCCCTTCTTTTCTCTCTTGGGCCATGAGGTGAGCACCTTTGCTCCCCACCAAGTTACTTTGCTTCACCACAAACCCCAAAGCAACAGGGCAAATTAACCATGGACTGAAACCTCCAAATTCATGGGCCAAAATAAACTTTCTCTTTCCAAGCTGATAATCTCAAGTATTATCTGTTTAAGTAACAGAAAGCTAGCACAATTATTAAAAAAATAGTGATCAAAATGAAAACTGCCTAACATAAATGAGCATTAACTATGGTACCTAATATTTTCAAAGCATTTAGCATATTTTATTTCATTTAATCCTCAAAATGTCTCATAAGATTGGTTTTATTATTATTATTATTATTGATGAAGAAACCAAGACTTGGAGAAATGAAATGATTTGGCCAAGGTCACACAGGAAGAGTGGTAAAACATAAATAATTAATTTGTAATCTTAGAAAATGCACTCTTTCTACAGGAAAAAGAAACATTGAGAGAACAATCCTTAATAGACTGGGTAAACTAGGCTTAGATTACCATTAAGTTAAAACTAAGGCATGCTACATTACAACTTTAGGGTGCAAAGAAATTGCTTTGGAGAGAGCTATTCAAATGTAGAATATTGTAAGTCGTACAAAATATATAAAATAGCCTCTAACCAAAAAGTGGCCAGAATATACAACTTTAGAATAATCTACATTATTTCTCCTCTAGTTGCCCTAGGACTACTCTCTAAGGCAACATTTCAATGACAAAGAGATTGTTCCTAAATGTGGCTGGGGAAAAGCCATCATTGCTGGTGGAAGGGAAATATACTGTTCTTTCCCTGAAGACTAAAATTGTACTAAAATCTTTCTAGGCTGTGCTATTCATTTTGTGAAGACTGACAGGGAATATAAATGGAGTCTGGAGAGGATGGGGACTGAATTTAAGGTGACCTAATTCCTGTTAGAATTTTATTGAACAAACATCACCATGTAGAGATTCAGATTCATTTTTATCCTCACTCATATAGTGTGTATGACTAGACACAGATATATTCAAAAATAGGCATCCAAAAGAGCATGTGTTTTCACAGGAGAGACAGTGATTATCTAGTTAGGTTAAGAAGAATGAGTGAGAAGTCAGAAATAGACACTAGCAACAGAGTGAGTACTGTAGGCCCCTTTATCAGAGGTTTTGTTTCCCAAAGTTTCATTTACTTGTGGTCAACCCTGGTCTGAAAATATTAAATGGAAACTTCCAGAAACAAACAATTCATAACCTTTAAATTGTGCATAATTCTGAGTAGCATGATAAAATCTCATGCCGTATCATCATGTCAAGCCTGGGGCATAACCCATCCCTTTGTCAATGTATCCATGCTGTATATGCTACTCACCAATTGGTCACTTAGTAGTTGTCTTGGTTATCAAACTGATTATCATGGTATTGCAGTGCTTTATTCAAGTAGCCCCTTTTTTGCTTAGTAGTGGCCCCCAAACACAAAGTACTGGTGTGGGCAAAGCAGATATGCCAAAGAGAAACTGTAAGTTGCTTCCTTTAAGTATAAAGGCAAAAGTTCTCAACTTTGAAAGGAAAGAAAAATCATTGTGAGCTGAAGTTGCTAAGATCCATGGTAAGAGATCGTGAGGAAGAGAAATTTATGATAGTTTTTCTGTTGCACCTCAAATTGCAAAAGAATTGTCACAGTGTGTGATAAATGCATAGTTATGCATTTATCACACACTGTTAAGATGGAGTTAAGATGGAGAAGGCATTAAATTATAGGGTTTGGTACTATCTGCAGTTTTAGGCATCCACTTGGACTTTGGGACATATTCTCCTTGAATGAATTAGGACTATATAATAAACAGAAGAGAGAATCAATGACTATTTCAGGGCATCGGGAAGCCAGCATTTATTTATATAGCATGTTTGAGTTAGCAGTATACTTTAATATACCTTGGTTGTAATTTATGAGCTATGTATTCTCATTTTATACAAATTATAGATAATAGAACTGAGCTTCAAATAACTTAAGTGACTTTCTCAGTGTCTCCAATTTTTAGATAGCTACTGATGGTGTTCCTGAATCCAGATCTAGTATTTTTGTACTCTAAAACTGGTTTGTCATTATAAATGAAGAATATGAAGGAAAAAATCCTGAAGATTTTATAAAATGTAGGCTCAAAAAAAGTAAACACATCAGGATCCTTAAAAAGCAGTTCAAATGTTTAGAAGAATAGCTAAAACATTAGAAATGGCTATGTACCTTACTATTGAGAGCCCAGCTCCAATATAATTTAGCAGAGGTTTTGGTACTTCTTCTGCATCCATTCCAAACCAGCCAAACCTGGAAATTCAGAGAGTCATATCAAATTAGATATTGTTGACATGTTGTACCATATTGTTTAAGGGCATAGATGTGGGGCCAGATCCTAGGTTCAAACTCTAGCCCTTATTCTTACTAACTCTAACTTTGGACAATTTTCCATGTTAAAAGTGGGGAAACAATCGTACTTCTAGGTTTGTTATAAACATTAAATGGGTTACCATATGTAAAAGTACTACTTGTAAGTGTCCCTTTTCTATTAAAACTTAAGAAGGAGAAAACAAATAGTTCAAGTGAATAACTGAATACTAATTAATTGGCTGCAATTTTGTATACTATTTAGCTTTTTTTTTTTGCATGCTGAATATTGAACCAAGGGCTTTGAGCATGCTAGGCAAGCGCTCTACCACTAAGCTACACCCAAGCCCTTGTATAGTGTTAGAAACATATTTTTAAATAACTTGGTTTAAAAACTTCTATTCTTTGCAATCACTTTAAATTCTTTTTCTTTTTCCCCTCATGCCTTGACACTATGGTGATCATCACGAAGAATTACTGAGAACCATATAGAGGCAAGGGATAAGGAGGCAAGAAGAAGCAGAAAGTAGTTATTTGTAAAAAGTTCAGGTGGTAATGGGAAAGAACAAGAAAGAAAGTACCCAGTGGAGGTTAGTAAATTAGTTTGCTTTCCTGGTTTGAGGTGGTAATAATGCTTTTGACTGCAAGGGGAGCCCACATTGTAAGGTGAGAGCAACATTCTTCATTCTGCTCATTTCCCCAAATTTGTCTTGAGTGTGCACATTAATGTAGACCAAGGGCAGTTAGACTGGTCCATGCACGCTATATGATAGGGAAGCCACCAGCCATCCATGACTACTGAGCACTTGAAATGTGGCTAGTACAACTGAGAAATTTAATGGTTGCTTTTCTCAATGTTTAACTCATAGCCTGTGGATTCAATAAAAATAGACTGTGGGTTGTGGCTACTCTGTTGGACAGCACTATTCTAGAACTAGGGTTTGCAAACTTTTTCTTCAAGGGCCAGAGTTAGAGTTTCAGACTTCCTAGGTTTGAGGTTCTCTTGCTTTGCAAGCAGCCATAGAGACAGAAGCTGTGGCCCACGCCTGTAATCCTAGCAGCTCTGGAGCCTGAGGCAGGAGGATCACAAGTTCAAAGCCAACCTCAGCAACTTAGTGAGACCCTGTCTCAAAAACAAACAAATAAACAAAAAACAAAACAACAACAACAAAAATGAGGCTGGGTTAAGCGCACCTGGGTTCAATCCCTGGTACCAAAAAACCCAAAACCAAAAGCCAAACAAACAAACAAAACAAAGCCAAAAAAAAAAAAAAAAAACCGAAAAGAAAACTAGCCACAGTTAATATTAAATGGATGGGTATGGAAAAGCAGGAGACCAGTTCACAGATTGCAGATCTGCTGTAAGGGAAGAATATGTGGTTTAGAATTGGAAAGCTGGGTTTGAATCCTGGCTTACTAGTCTGTGACCTGCATGACTCAACCTCTTTGAGGATCAGCTCTCTTATAGCACTTAACTTGCATAATTATGAAAATAAAATGAGGATGATGCATATAACATTTTTAGTTAATTTTCAGATAGGAAGAGGAAATAAACATTCAGTTTTCCTTCTCCCACTTTTTTTCCTAGATATAATTCTTTCAATATTTTTGGGTTTTTTTTGCTATATCTTGATCAAGTATCTAGATAATTTACTAAGAACTTAAAAAAAATTAAATGTGACATTTTTTTTTATTTCTGTGAGAATAAGAATCATATGCTATTCTTCTCAGCAAGCCCAATCCTTAGCACTTGTCTTACATTGGGTATGGGTGAAGGGAATCTTAGTTGAAAAGTTGACTTGTATTACCTTGAGCTTGCCCAGCCAGTTATAGCATTAAATGATCCCCAGATTAGGATTCCAAGGCCTAAACCAATGGTTTTGATAATTGGGACCACAGCAACGTTCCCTGTAGATGCAATACACAGAAAAAAATTTGTTATTTTCAATATATAAAATAAATTTATAAATTAGTGTTTAAAATTAGTGTTTATTTCAACTTCAACTGAAGTGCATGGGGTTTATATAAATTTGGTAAAGGATATTTCTTCATTTTAAAATAAGATAACTACTTTTTAGCATTAAATTTATAATTATGATTGCTCAAAGAACTAGACTTAGGGAAAAATCCCATGAAGACATTGAATTGGCTTCTTGCCTAACTGTACAGATGTTCTTCATCCTTAACAAGGGTTTCTATTTCATGGCTCTTTGTAAAAGATGTAAATGATAAAACTATAGTTCTCCTTGAATCGATCTGGGGCCAACCACTGGAGAAGCCTTGACTCCAATATAGCCTCAGAATCTACCCTTCTACCTTCATGGACTGGTCTTCCAGGTTTCCACATTCACCTTCATTGACTTTTCTTCTAAATCTCCCAATTTATTACCTTGTGCTCTTAAGGGTCACTCAGGGCCAAATCCATGATTGCTTTTTACCAGTTCTTAACCCCTCATTAGCATGGCCTCAGCCCTGCAGTCTAGACTCCTTCTTATAAGATCTCCTTTTTGGATATCCAAGATTCCTTCAATTCCTGGTTATTCTCCTGTATCTCTCTAGTTCTTTCCAGCTGTTCTTTCTCATCATGCCTTCTGGATTAAGTGCCTCCTGCAGATTTCACTTGGAACATGCTCTTCTTGCTATTATCTATATTCTTCATTGGGTACTGCACCTAATTTCATGATTTCAGTTGTCAACCAGAGACACACACTCCCAGCATGACAGCTCCAGCCTATACTTGCTTGAGTGTGAAGTGTTATGCTGATAAGAAGTTTGCAGCTAGATGTTCTATTGATGAAACGTTAGGATTTTCAAATTCAGAAGGTTCCAAGTTAACTCCATCATTTTCCCTTCCAAATATTTCTTTCTGTTTCTTCATGTATCAATAACAGCATCCTCCTAATCAACTATAATAAAGCCCTACATCATCAATTCCTCCCTTTTCTCTGTGGTCCATATCCTATCAGTTGCTATGATCCCAATCTGTAACATATCCCCAAATTTGGCTCTTCCCCACTGACTCCCAGTGGAATCTGCTGAGTGAATATAAACACTACTGAGGTTGTAAAAATCTGTAGTTTGGATGGATGCTTGCTTATGAGCACATAAGATAATAGATGAGATTTGCTTAAAAAGATTGAAATATTTGAAATAATAATTTTCTGTCAAGAACTTAAAAATCATTGAAAGGAACAAATCAGGAAATGTTCACAAATATGTATTGAATATTTAAAAGGAAGAAATTACATAGTTAATTTATATTATCTATGACTAAGTATTATAGAGAATTTCTGTTTGTGCTCTTTCTTCTCTTTGTGAGTTTGAGACGTGTTTTGATCATTATTAAATCATTATACAAAAGGTTACAACATACAATACCTGTTGCCCAGATGCAGCCCCCAAGCATTGCAAAAGGCCAAAACTTAGGGCATCGTAATATCAGGTTGACCACCAAAGCAACCAACCAAATGGCAGCACAAAGAACCCACTGAAGAAACATTCCTGGAAACAAAAGAACTTGGTCTTAATGCTCCAAAACGATTTGAGTGAATTTTTGCTTAGGAATATGGATGAGATAACACAGTAGGCATGGACACAGTTTACTAAACGTCTATGCAATAGGCACTTTGCACATTTCATTTTTACAAGTATTCTGCATTGTAATTAACACTAACTTAAAGAGAAAATAAATCCCAGATTAAACAATTTGTCCAAATAGCTGCTAGTTTGTAGATCTGAAATTTAAACACAGGTTGTTTGATGCTAAGCCTATACACAGTGCATTATGGCTTAATTCTTCTTTTTTTTTTTCCACCTATCAAACAAATCAGGAATTCTCAGTTACAGAATGCTGGCCAGACCAAGTCTGTAATTCCATTCAGATGTGACATTAAGAGCCATCCACCCAAAACATGGCATTAAGACTTTAGAGTAGCACACAGTGACTTAAAACTTTTTAGGAATGATTTGTGCCAACTCTGGGATAAAAATAAAGTCTTTTATGGCCCCCAACTGGTCTCATCTAGAGTCTAATGCCTGTGATAAGCCAGAAATTACAAATCTGAGAATAAGCCTTCTAGATCAGGACTGCTCTCCTTTGTAATGTGTTTAGCTGATATTTGCTGATGATCTGAAGATCACCTGATGATATGAGATGTATCTGTACCTCTCTGAAGCTGCTGCACTATCAAGGATTTAGGAATTAAAAAGATAAAGAAATAGTTGACATTGAAAGAAAAAGTCAGTTATAACTCAACCTGTCACTTTTGACTTTGAGGATGATTTTTGCCTATTTCTATTTACTCTCACAGTGGAGGAGAGGGAAAAAATTGGCTTCTAAGACAACAAAGTAATATCACCAGATGAAAAGGAACTTCATTTTATAAATTCTTCACTTCACAAGTGAGAAACTAAAAATGAAAGATCTGAGAAGATTTGCCCAGGGCTGGGAGTGTGTATAGCTCAATGGTAGAGCATGTGCCATGTGTGAGGCCCTGGGTTCAATCTACAAAGCCCAAACAACTAACTAAATCACTAAATTAACTAATCACTAAATTAACTAAAATTAAATTTCAAGAAGTAGACTTGCCCAGAAGCACAAAGCTAATTGCAAGAAACCTAAAATCCAGGTCCTCTACTCTTCCCCCTCCCCCTCCCCCGCTTTTTTTTTTTTTTAAAGTAGTTTCCATTCCTGTTTCAAGTCCAAATAAAAAGAGAAGAAAGACTCTGGAGGAAAAAGATTTGTAATCCTATGGTCTAGGCAGTATGAAGACATAAGAAATTAGGGAGATAAATGCTAACAGAAAGTTTCTTCCTAATAGATATTCCTCATTCCAATATCCTCAATTCCTTCTGGCTTCCATATGGAGGGTATTAAATAAAAATAACTCTGACTTTTCATTCTCTAAAATAAACATCACAGGCAGTTTTAAGATGACATGTGCATTACTAAATATCACTGCAAAGCCTTCAAAACTATGTAAAAACCATGCAATACAAACCACAGAGCTTTTAGGGAAAACGGGTTTTGGGGAAAGAACACTGGAAAACTTCATCAGCGATGTATCAAAAAAGAGTAGACCTAATGAGAATGACAGTTGTTTTTAACTGGTTAAATACATGAATGCTGCAATAAATATAGCACTCGAAATTGAAAAAGACTGTAAGTTAGCTATAGAAGTAGCACTGGAAGATGAAATTACTGTGAAGTTGGTGAAAGATTTTGCCTTCAGATGCATGTAGTGTGATGCATAACACATGGGGTGAACTGAGGAAGCTTAGGGGTTTGAAAAGTGTGTGTGTGTTTGTGTGTGTGTGTGTCTACATGTGCATGCATTTTGTCTACTACTACACATCTGTATTCATCTTGGTGCAGTTTTCTTTGTTCATCTAGTGTTTTCTCAGAGACAAAATTGCATATGAGTTAGAACAAAACTCCTCTTAGGCTCAACACTGTTCTGTAATACATCAATCATGTCGGAAATGTGTGTTTTCAAAACAAGTGTTATTAGAATTTACTGTGATTTTCTTCTTATGTAAACATAGCAGATACTGTCTGAAAAGCTTTCCTGACAGTACCTAGCTCCACTGTTTTACCATAAAATCTTAAGGGTGATCCTATACTAACTCTCAGATAAACAGGTATGGATACTGTCAAATGATTTATGTTAATACTTTTCATTACTTTTTTAGGTATAATTTTTTTAAAAAGACCCAAAAGATTTAAAAATAATTTTAGGTTAATAATGAAGAGAAAATAATTACCATCACCAGTATCATATTTTTTAAGTGGCACAAAGTTTGAGCCAAACAAAAGTACCGCTACAGAAGAGGAGAGGTAGCCAATGGCTAGATCTGTTCCATTATTGGTCATGGTTCCAGGAGTGCAAGAGAGGGCTGGTTCACTTTTGGCTCTATATGCTTTTCAAGAGTTTCTGAAATAAAAGAAATAAAAATGAAACAATCGAGAAGTGTTGAATCTCTGAACAAATTGTAATTAATACATATTATCATCAATCAAAAGTATGGACTCTAAAATAACTTCTTGAAGATGCTTAAAACATTATGCAGTTATATAATGTTCACATGCCACATGTTCATTCATTAATTTTTTTTATTTATTCTTCCAACAAGTATGTTTTATCACTAACTTACAAGTTTAAAAATCCAACATTTTTTTTTTTTTTTTTTTTGCAATTTAACTTCTTCCAAGATCTGGATCCAATTTTTATTACATTATATAAAAGATTCTTCTCTATAGGTAAACTAGTATAAGGGAAAGATTTGGGGACTGGAACTTGGTTTACTTCAGTTGGTTGTTGTGACAATCAAATGCAAAAACACCTGCAAGGACTTCTAGAAAGCCTAAGTGCTTTCTAAGCAAAAGCTTTTGTTTTCTTTTCAACATCAGCTTTAGGGCACTTTAGGTTGTACTGCTGCTACAAACTCAGAATTCCCTAGGGGGAAAGGTACTTTTCTTATCATGAGTAATATACCCATTGTAAGTTTTAGTCTAAATAGTTCATGAATCTCAGTGGGTGTATAATAGAGGTAGACTCTGTGCTGAGCATTTGGGAGGCAATGAGTTCCATCCCAGCACAGAGGAAAAAAAAAAAAAATATATATATATATATATATATATATATATATATCGTTCATGAACCTCTGTATCATTATGAACTTTTTAAAAAAATAAACTGATAGAAGACATGCTTCAAGAATCTTGTAAAGTGAAAGATCAGCAGTGGTGTGTTGTGCAATAATATCAACCAGTTGAAGTGTATGAGTCAGCTACTTAGTTGTCTGTGTTGTGCAATCCAGGAGCCATTAGGCACATACAAATAGCTGAACTTTCATTAAAATGAATTAAATCAAATAAAAGAGTGAAAAATTCAGTTCCTCAGCCACATCAACTACATTTCAAGTGCTTAATAACTACATGTGACCATTAGCTACCCTACTGCACAGTGCAAGTTACAGAACTCTTCTATCACTGAAAAAAGTTCTAGTGGACAGTAGTGGTTCTCCTATGAAGAAAAGGACCCAAACTGCAAGAAACCAAGAGCCGTTTTTTAAAAATAAGAAAACATTAGGAAAAGACCACTAAATACAATTCACCTTATTCAGCTGCATGAACTTCATGAAACACACACACACACACACACACACACACACACTTTTATCAGTTTTTCCACAATACCATTTTGTATTTGTATTCGTATATTGACCCTTTGGAATAACCTTGTGGAATACAATTCAAGATAATCCAGTTTTTCTTTTTTCTTCAAATTTAATATCTTGTTGATATGTATTGAATAAAAAAAACACCTGAAATCAACTTTCCTTGTTATTTTATTTTTAAAAATAATAAATATTTAAAGATCCATGTAATTGTTTTACTGATAGGCTCCAAGAAAGTTTAAGCCCTCGAAATGGCTCACAGGCATAAAGCTCAAGGGCCAAATAGGCAGAGCTGCCAAGATATGATATCAGAGCTAAGAAGGGTCAGAGAGATGAGAATTATCTGGGAAAGCTATCATGGGAGTAGAAAGACAGGATTAGGTGTTAGATAAGAATATTTTTTTTTCCATTTTAATTAAAAAGAAACAAAGCAAAACAAAATCTTTGTAAGTACATTGATAAAAACAGATGACTAAACTTCAAAGACAGCAGATTATTTTATTGTCAGACAGCCTTATACCTCTCAGATTTCACCCTGAATTGAAAGAATAATTTGAAGTGCTAACCAGAGTGCATGAACTGCAATTTGACTGCTGTATGAACATTAATCAGTTATAATCCATATATAAATAAAGTTTATTGCATACAGCATGTGATGTAATTTCAATATGTGTTGGTAATAACTTACTGTCTTTAAGAAAGTGTCTACCTCTTTCTAAATCAATGAAGGTTTTGTGGAAAAGAAAAGCACCATCACTTTTTTCTAGCATATTGCTCTCAATTGCTTTTAGTCCAAATCTGTTAAGTCTCAAACTATATTTATTTTGGTGCTGGATGGAATTTCTCTTTGTAATTTTACATTTACTTTTTTCCTTTTTAAAATTTTTATTATTTGATTTTCTAACTGGCACAAAACATAAAAATTGTACATATTAATGGGGTGTAAGGGGATATTTCCATCCATGTATTCATTGTCTAATCTTAAATCACGTTAAAGATCTTTCTTCAAACATCATTTCTCCATGATAAAAACTTTCAAATTTTTTCCTTTTGTTTGAACTTTTAGTGAAACCAACATAATTTTATAATGTTTACTTTTAACTGTCTATGTTTTATTAAACTGTATTCATTTTTAAAATTTTACTACTTCATCTCACTTATTAGTAAATATTTTCCCCCTACGTTATCCCTACCAATTTAAACTTCTAATCATCCCCCTCCTTCTTTGTTAAATTAGTATTTGGTGGGTTCTGATCTATACTGCTTGTTCTGCTTCACAATGATTTCATTCTTAGTTTCATGCTAATTTCCTCAAATCTCCCGCAAGCCTTTGCTGGTCTCTTGGTTAAAGTTAACAGTGTTTGCACGTATCTATTCTGAGCCTGGAGTTTTCTTTTAACCACCCCTCTGTTTTTTGAAAAGTCATTCCCGCCCCCGGCAACGCCACCCGGTCTCTGTACTCACCGCGTTGTGTTCCGGCTGCGCAGGGGCTGAGTACTACTGGGCGCCCTGAACTCGACCCCTTCCCTCGCCCAACCAACTCTCCTGGAGCTACTTCCTGCTCTCACAGTTCCCTTCCCACCCCTGGCTGAATCGCGACTTCCAGCACCTGCCTAGGGAGGCTTTCACAGGGATGCAGGTCGGGACCGCCTTTTTTCCAGTGTGGGACTGGAGCGAACTGTCAGGTGACAGTTGAGGACTCGTCAAGCCCTTTGTCAATCAACCAGCAAACCAGAAGAGTATTGAATATAAAGATGTGATTGTTCAGAGAAGGCTGGGCATGTCACCCTAAGCTCACAGTGTTATCTATGGTGTTTATGAATAAAACAAAAGACTGGGGAATTTCACATTATGGGTAATATTGTAAAATATTACCCCCAATGAACATCAAAAAATTCATCTGAACTATTGAGGTCACTAACATCTCCTGTGACACGAATTTCACTTGTAACCACTAATCCTTTCTAAATGCACAAACCATTGATTTATATATTTATTTAATGTGTACTGAGTGATAGATGAGTATAGGACTTTCTAGGCTTCTTAAGCTTGGTGGCATCATATTGCAATGACCAGGGAGGTGGTGTGTGTGTGTGTGTGTGTGTGTGTGTGTGTTTTTCTTCTTCTTTTAATACGAATCTCATACCAGACCAACTAAAATAGAATCTCTAGGGGCGTGGCTCCAGAATCATTTCCTTTTAAAACTTCCTTCAGATGACATTAATGTGAAGCCAGGCTTGAGGATTATATTCTATATTTATATTATGTTCTATATTTCATTGCCTGTAAATTGCCTGAAGAATGGTTGAAAATGTTGACATCTCTACATAGATTTTTAAGAAACATTGCTTTAGTTCTCTATTGTCCAATATTTAAGTAGCCACTGCAACATGTGGTTATTATTTAAATTAGAAAAAAAAGTAGAATAAAAAAAATCCAGTAATTCACTTGCATTGGACACTTCAACTGCTAAGGCCATATATGCAGATTATAGGACATTTCAATCTTGCAAAAGTTCTACTGGAAAGCATTGTTTTATACGGCCCTGGGAGTGTGTAGACAAAGTCCTAACTTCACGTAGGTTTCAGTTCAACAAAGGACACAGACATGAACTTCAAGTTCAAAAAGGGGAAGTACTAAGTTCTATCCCAGTCTGAGTTTAAGGAAGTCCTCTTTGAAATTAAGTGATATTTAACTGAGACCATCCAGTAGTTGTTGATGGTTATGCAGTTCACAAAAAGAAAAACCAAACCAAACCAAACCAAAAAAACATTAAGGACCATTCAAAGATGAGGTATCCTGGAGATTTTGCTTTCAGTATTGCTCACAGTCATAAACTACAGTGTTATAAACTAAGCAGATGCAAAGTCAAAGTATTATTTCATTTTAGGTATTTAAAGAAGCTAAGACTTTTCCCTTAAAGGAAATGATTAATTTAGCAATTCAGAAAGATTTTGAAAAAATAACATCCCTTTAGCAGGTGGACATACTTACTTAGCACATCTCTGTTTGTTGTGCTTTGCAGATATTGTATATTTTCACAAATTGAAGTTTTGTTAAGCAAGTCTGTTGATGCCATTTCCCCAAAATTATGTGCTCATTTTGTTTCTATGGGTCACATTTTGGTAATTATCATAGTATTTCAAACTTTTTTTTCTTTTTCTTTTGTACTGGGGATTGAAACCAGGGACACTTAACCACTGAGCTACAATTCCCAGACCTTATTTTATTTTTTATTTTAAGACAGGGTCTCCCTAAGTTACTTAGGGCCTCACTAAGTTGCTGAGGCTGGCTTTGAACTTGTGATCCTTCTGCCTCAGTCTCCTGGGCCACTGGGATTCCTGGCATGTGCCATTGTGCCCAGAAAACTTCAAATTTTTTTCATTATTCTTGTATCTGTTATGAGATCACTGATCTGTGATCAGTGATCTTTGATGTAACTATTGTAATTTTTTTGGGGTACTATGAACTGCAACCATAGAACACAGGAAGATTAATTGATAAATGTGTGTATTCTGACTGCTCCAGCATCTGACAGTTTCTCTCTTTGGACCTTCCTATTCCCAACAATATTGAAATTAAAGCACTTAATAACCCTGTAATTGCCTTCAAGTGTTCAAGCAAACATAAGAGTCACATGCCTCTCATTAAAAAAACAAACAAAAAACAAAAAGAAAAAACTAGAAGTAATTAAGCTTAGTGAGGAATGCTGGTTGAAAGATCAGATAGGCTGAAAGCTAGGCCTATTGTGTCATACAGTAGAAAGTGAATGCAAAGGAAAAATGTTGAAGGAAATTAGATGGGCTACTCCATTTGCATTTCTTCCTTTAAGAAGTGTTTCTTCAGATCTTTTGCCAATTTTTAATTGAATTACTTATCTTCTTATTGTGAAGTTTCATGAGTTCTTTATATGTTCTGGATTTTTAACATCTTTCAGATGAATAGTTAGAAAATATTTCCTCCCATTCTGTAGGTTGTTTCTATATTCTTTTATGTTCTTAGTTGTGCAGAAGCTTTTTAATTCAATGAAACCCCATTTGTCAAGTTTTGCTTCTATTTCTTGTGCCTTTGGGGTCATCTCCAGTAAAACATTGCACTGAGGAAAAATTATTGTCTTGAAATATTTCCCCTGTCTTCTTCTAGTAGTTTCAGAATTTCAAGTTTTGCATTTAGATCTTCCATCTATTTTGAGCTGAATTTTATATAAAAAAGTTCTCAGTATCTTTAAGTCATTGGAGAAATGCAAATCAACACTACAATGATATCTTATCTCATCCCAGTTAGAATGGTCTTTATAAAAAAAGGAAAATGCTGCCAAGAATGTGGAGAAAAAAGAACTTTTATATGCAGTTGGGGGGAATATAAATGAATACAGCCACAGTGGATAATAGTATGGAGTTTACTCATAAAATTAAAAATAGAACTGCCATATGATCCAGGAATACCACTCCCAGGTATATATCTAAAGGAAATGAAATCAGCATACCAAAGAGATACCTGCATGTTCGTATTTATTGCAACACTATTCACAATAGCTAAGATAGGGATTCAGCCTTGTACCCCTCAAGAGATGAATGAATAAAGAAAATTCAGCCAAATTCAGAGAAGAATCAAATCATGTCATTTGCAGGAAAATAAGTGGAACTGGAAGCCATCATGTTAAGTGAAATAACCCATATACAGAAAGACAAGTACTGCATGTTCTCTTTCATATATGGAAGCTAAAACAAAGTTGGCCTTAAAGTACACTAGTGACTACTAGGAATTGGGAAGGGTGGAAGGGGGAGGGACTAGAGATAAGGATTTGATCAGTTCATGCTATCTGCATGTAAGAAATACCACACTGAATCCCATCCCAAAAAGAAAATTTAAAAAGTGCTGTTCCAGTGAAAAACAGAATGGTAAAATGAAACAGCTTTACTGCTGATATGGAGACATTTTAGCCTCCATATTTTTAAGTCTTATTATTTTTAGTGGTCTAAAAATTCTAATAATTTTAGCTTTCTAAAATTCTAAAATTTCTGGTCTAATAATTTCAGCTTTCAACTCTTATTATTTCAAGTCTTATTATTTTTAGTGGTCTAAAAATTCCCACAAGCCAAAGCCTAATTCAGAGAAAAGCTCTAACTCTCTTCAAGTCTATGAAGGCTGAGAAAGTTGAAAAGGTTGCAGAAGAAGCATTGGAAGTTAGCAGAGGTTTGTTCCTGAAGTTTAACAAGTCATCTCCATTAAAAAAAATTTGCAAGATGAGCAGAAGGGCTGAGGCAGAAGCTGCACCAAGTTATCCGGAAAATAAGAAAATCAATGAAGTTGGTTACACTAAACAACAGATTTTCAATGAAGACAAAACAGCCTTATCTTGGAAGAAGGTGCCACCTAGAACTTTCATAGCTAGAGTGGAGAAGTCAATGTCTGGTTTCAGAGCTTCAGATGACAAGCTGGCACTCTCATGGGGGGTTAATGCAGCTGGTGACTTCAGGTTGAAGCCAAAACTCATTTACCATTTGGAAAATCCTAGGACAGTTAGTGTATTGATTTGCTCTTATTGTGCTCTAAAAATGGAAAATCGAGTCTGGATGACAGATGTCTGTTTAAACATAGTTTACTGGATATTTTAAGCTCACAGTTGGGACCTATAGCTTAGGAAAAAAAAATCTTTACAAAATGTTACTACTCATTTACAATGATTGTGGTCATTCACGAGCTTTGACAGAAATGTAAAATGAAATTGTTTTCATGCCTACTAACATAGCATCCATTCTGTAGTCCATGGATCAAGGAATAATTTCAGCTTTCAAGTCTTATTATTTAAGAAATACATTTCATAAAGCTATAGCTACTATAACTCACCACTTCTCTGATGGAATTGAAAACTTTCTGGAAAGTATTCACCATTCAAGATGCGATTAAGAACATTTATGACTCACAGGAGGAGGAGGTAGAAATATGAACATCAAAAGAGATCAGAAGACGTTGATTCCAACCTTCATGGATGACTTTGAGGGTTCAAGACTTTAGTGGAGGAAGTAACTGCATATATGGTGAAACTAGCAAGATAATGATGAGGAGTCACTGGTTTGAGATGAACAAAGAAAGGGATTTCTTGAGATGGAATCTACTCCTGGTGAAGATGCCAGGAATACTGGTGAAATGACAACAAAAAATTAAGAAGATTACACAAAGCTTTTTGATAAAGCAATGAGTGGCAAATTTTGAGAAGAATGACTCCAATTTTGAAAGAAATTCAAAATTGCTAAAATGCTAAAACACAGAGAATGCTACTGAGATATTGGTGAGAAAAGTACCAACTGATGAGGCAAATACCATTGCCACCTTATTTTAAGAAATTTCCATAGCCAGCTAACCTTCAGCAGTCACCACCCTGATCAGTCAGCAGACAATGGCATTGAGGTGAGACCCTCCAATAGTAAAACAATTACTACTCACTGAAGGCTCAGAGGATCATTAGTATTCTTAACAATAAAGTATTTTTAGTTAAAATAGGTATGTACTTTTTTTTTAGAGATAATACTATTGAATACTTAATAGGCTGCAGTAGAGGGTAAGTATAAACTTAATGTGCACTGGGAAACTAAATAGTTCATGAGACTCACTTATTTGCAATATTTGCCTGATTATGGTGGTCTGGAACTGAAACCTCAAAAACTCTGGTGTA